TGTAAATGTATTACCAAGTCAATGATTTTTTTTCTTTTTTTTCGAAATATTTCTCTCGTAGTAATTTAATAACACACAAATGCATGCATAAACGCTCTCCTTAGTTTGGTACAGTAATAATTCAATCTTATTTTATTTATTTAAATTAATTTATATAAATGTTTAGCGGGTTTTTATTTGGTTGGTTCACTTGTAAATATCTTTCACTGAATCTCAGTTTTTGTTTAAATTAATTTTTTTTAGTTTTGATTGGCAAAAAGCGAACAATCTCATGAAATTAAATGTAAAATTGTTTGCATGATTTTTTCGAAAAAAAGTCAGTCTTAATACTCTAAAACATTGATATTCATTTCTGACGTACATGATAACATTTCGATACGTGGTTGAGTTACATTAAAGTATGTTTCGCATTTTATTTGAAACGGCTCTTAAAGAACAACTTAAAAGCGCACATTCTGGTACTAGACTGTATAACCAGTACTATAACAATTGATTTATTGTCATGTTAGAAGTTTTATGGAGATTGTCCAATTTGAAGAAAACTTCACATCGAAAAATAACTTCTACATAATCATTAAAAACTAAGAGTCGCTACACAGATATTTCGTTCTAGTTCTTTATCCGGGGACCCTGTGGCATCTTCGTTTGGTCTTGCTGGCGTTGGTGTCGCACTAAGTGCTAGAGCTGAGGCAGCACTAATCGATTGGATCCCCATTAACAGTCGGTTATGCGCTGTTAGATTAGAAAGTTCCATCACAGTGAGAAGAAATCGGCGTGAGAAACGATGTCTTTTCGTCATCTCCGCCTATGTTCCGACGGATTACAGCCCGGATACTATCAAGGATGAATTCCACCACCAGTTAACTGTTATTTTCCAGAAAGTGCGTTCGACAGATATTGTAGTACTAACCGGAGACTTGAATGCTCAGGTCGGGCGTCTAGGCACAGAAGAGAGTCGTATAGGTGGCCGATGGGGACTTGTTGGTCGCAGAACAGATAACGGCGACTGCTGCAACTGTACACAAACCACAATCTGTTTCTGGCTAGCACTAACTTCCGGCTTAGTCATCGCCGATGTGCCACCTGGCGTCTTCCCTCTGTATCTCAAGCCTGAACTCAGATTGATCACATCGCGATCAGCTACCGCTAGCGTGGTTGTGTACAAGATTCCCGCTCCTTTTGGAGTACCTATCTGGACTCTGGTCTGCGCCAGTCTTGCCTTACTTTTCAGTGGCAAGCGAAGTGACCGCCAGCAAGTTGGTTGCAATTTCTGTTGCAAGTAAGTATCGAACCGAGCTAGTTTCTAGGCTAGCTACCATTCCACCGAAAAGTGTAGATGAGCATTGGTTGCAACTTCATGACGCCATCAAAATGGCGAGTAAAGCCGCTTGCGGCTTCGCGAAACGTCCCGCTTATAAGCACTGGGTTTCTTCTGGCTCCTTATAACTCATCGAAGGCCGTCAGTCCACTTCGGGTGACCGTGTGTTTAACCACAAATGGAGGATGTTACGTAAGGAAATTGGGCAAAGTTTGCGTAAGGACCGAGAAGCCTGGTAGTCGGAGCGTGCTAATGATCTGGAAGCAGCATTTGCATCTTGTAACTACTGGAAGCTCTTCCAACTCATCCGAGTCACTGGCGGCAAGAAGTCTGGTGTGAGCGAAACAATTTGTGAGGATGACGAGATGCCAATCACTAACATCCATCGACCTCTTGGACGATGGGCAGAATTCTTCGAAGGGCAGTTCAACTGGCCTGCTGCTCCGGCAACATCGGTCAGACTGTTCCTGTAACAACTATCGGGGGATAAGTCTACTTCCGATTGCGTCCGGGCTATTGGCTTCTGTCATACTTCGTAGTTTGTTCATAACCCGAGAAAGATTTACTCGCAAGGAGCAGGCTGGTTTTCGTTGCGGTCGAGGATGTATTGATCATATCTTCACCCTCCGCCAAATGTTAGAACACCGCCATACTTATCAAAGGCCAACAATCGTAGTGTTTCTTGACATCAGGGCTGCCTTCGATTCGTTGGACAGGACTGTTTTCTGGGATTGTCTATTGAAGAAGCGTGTGCCTGAAAAGTTTAATAACATCCTAAAGGCCCCATATACAAACACCTCAGGTAGAATGAGGGTGTACAACCACCTTTCTCCATTGTTCCATTCGAGCAGTGGGGCTAGACAGGATTGCCCAATCTCATGTGTGTATCTAGGTAGCTGCATAAGTGCTGGTGGTGGTGTGAGTGATGAGATCGATTCACGTATAATGAAAGCCAGAACGGCTTATGCCAATCTGGGCCATCTTTGGCGCCTTCTTGATGTCAGTCTGGCTGTAAAACGTCGGATTTACAACGCGTCGGTGAGAGCAGTTTTGCTCTATGCTTGTGAAACCTTGCCTCTCCGAGTTGAAGACGTTAGATGACTTTCTGTGTTTGATCATCGTTGTCTCCGAAGGACTGCTGACATCCAGTGGCAACACCATGTTAGTAATGCAGAGGTTTAGCATCGTGTGTTCGGGCACATAGACGATAATGCAATTGGTGTCACCATCTTGAAACACCGACTTCGGTGGCTTGGACATGTGTTACGAATATCGTCCCAGAGAATTCCACGTCGTGCATTATTTGCCGACCCTGGGACTGGTTGGAAGAAGCGGAGAGGTGGTCAGTGTATGACATGGTGTCGTGGTATGAAATAAAGCTGCAAAGGGCTGGCTTTTGTTGGTCCTTCACGACTCCCTGGTTGGGGTCCGAGAGATGGTGCAACACAGTGGCTAGTGACGTTATCACATATGGCTCAGAATAGAAGCCAGTGGCGATCCTGCTGTAACCTTCTTTTACTTTCTTCATGAAAAGTGGTTGTGTATTCCTTAACTGAAAGATTTCTTCTGATTGTACCTTTCCGTTTCCCCCATTATTACCATTGTTATTATCACACTACCTTACACTAGTCTGTTCGTTATTGTCCTTTTTTTACGCTCATTACCTTGTTTTCTCCCCATTCTCATTGTTTTGTGCGGCGCATATATATTTGGTGCCCTCTTGTACCAATATTTATGTGTAATACGGCTCAACAAGCCTAGTCAGGGTTGAATTAGAGACCCAGCAGTCACGTGGTTAGCGAGTAGTAGTTCAACAGTTTACATTTCTTACCTTAGCTAATTTGAAATATTCTCAGTCGTCATTCAGTGGCATCCGTCTCACTTTTTGCTGTTGAGTACTCAGAAACTAAGATAAAACATATTTAGAGTTTGTTTGTCAACCCGAAGTTTGTCCACCATTTGGGTTATCTCCAGAATATCTTTTTGTTAATGAGGCTATAATCATATTAAATAAATCCAAAGCAACTTTACACCAATAACTACTGTTTCTAACAAAAATTGCAAATTATATAGTTCTAATCACTAGTTTTTTTCGTCCCTTAACGTATACAATTTTATATACACTATCATTATTTAGTAAGGATAATCATCTAGTTGGATAATAATGAAAAGTACGCTACTTGATATGAATGGTGTTACAAACTCTTATTACCATTTTAATAGACATTGTAAACACCCTCCCTCTCGGTACCGTAATTAAACTTAAATCAACTATACATAAGTATCTTTGTTTATGTTGCCAAAGTTTACCGCTAAAATGTATCGACTAATCAGTAACAGGTTATTTACAGTTATTTTTTAAAAGTAGTCTCACTGTATGTACAATGGCTTACAGCTTGAAAAGAAAATAATTAGCTATTTAGTAGAAATAAAGAAATACACATTTCATATTCTTACTTTTAGTTAAATCATGTCAACAATCTTGAAAAATGTAAATGCAAACTGATAATGATTTTACTCTGTATATATTTATTGTAAAGAATATTTCTGAAGTATTCCTTAATGATGTATGATCCAATGGCTGTGTGTTGTACTGCATTTACTCAAACTATTCGGAAGATTGTAATGCCCCTTATGTATTAACTGTAGTTCACTTATATTTTAGAATTATTGATCAATGAAAAATTAGAGTTTTAACTCTGCTTAGCGCTTATCACGATATAAATGTTACTATAAAGCATTGTTACCACCATCTTTAATGAGTCATAACAATTTATAAAGCCTAATCTCTTGTTTCAACCAGTTAGTCAGTCATTATCAATTTAGAGTTTGGGTCAAATGTGCATTGGTTCCAGTTACCATACCATTTTAGCACGACAAGGTGAAATGAATAAGTTAAATACCAAAAGCAATCGAAATAATATAATATCAGTGATAATGGTAATGGGAATATGCTTCAAAAAAGTATGTGTGAAGAAATAATTAAATCCAAGGTTGATAGGAAGATAAAGAGTAAATCCATCAGCAAATTATCCCGTCGTTTACTTAATGTGTATTTGCAGTCCATATCTCAACTACGATATGGATTTTTTTACAGTACCGTAAAGCATAAACATAGACAAAGTAAGAATTAGTGTGATATTTATTATATAATGGTCAAAATTGTGCTTGACTACCAGAATCAAAATTGATTAAGCCAATACCTTAAGAGTCAAATACAAAACCGATAAAAATTACAAAATAACAATGACCGATTATTCTTATACAGTTATTTAGATCTAACAAACATTTGCATTTCGAAGTGTAGTTAAAAATCATTTATGAAATAGTAATTTTTAAACATAATCTAGTTGTGTACTCACTAAACTTCTTTTCGTGTGCCTACCTGTTCATGTTTCTTTCTAATATTCAATTATTAAACCAAGTATATTTCAAATTCTAAACAGATTTTGTTTATTAACAAAAATTAAATGAACCTATAAATGAGCTTTTATGTAATGTAGTGACACAGTAATTTGATTGCACTTTTTTACACACAATATGTTACATTGATATTCCTCCTACTTTTTTCCTTTATTTCTCTCTGTTACTGAATAACTGATTATGTGTTAATTGTAAATATCTAAGTAATTTTTTATTATTTATTTATCTTAATTCTTTTCTTTTCTTTTTCTCAATTTAGCTTCACCAGATGGTCTGGATTACTTATTCCAATTGGTGTTGTAGTAGTAGCGATCATTGTGTATAAATGTTTCTTATAAGTAAATTGTTATCTTTCTGTGTTTTTATCTACCTGTATGGCTTTCCTCTGTGTTTCTGTGTACTCCCTGTGATTTTGCTGTAGATCTTTTCTTCTGTTTAATATTGGTCCGTGTATTTTCTTGTTGGATTTTTTCCTCTGGTTGAATATTTGTTAATATGTTTGTCATAATAAATGAAGAGACAATCAACAGTTTTTTACATGTCTGATAACTTCTCTTTTGTTTTAAAGTTTATGTGTATGCATTGTGTACGAGTACATGTGTGTGTGACTGGCTGTTTGTTTTAGAGTACATATGAACGACAAACTCGAAACTACTTTAGTGCAAAAATTTGCAGTTATTCGTAATATTGATTTGTATATAGGATTTTAAGGATTCGTGCGAACCTTTGACGTCTTGTGTTCAACAGTAATTTACTTTAGTCTATGTTTTAACATTCACGATAGAAGTGTGTCTAAATGTGACAATGCAATGAATATTGATTTTATTTGATCTTCTGTAGATATATAGAGACAAGTACAAACCTAAAACTAATTGTTAGTGCATTTTATATGTCTGTTTATGCATTAAACCACAGAGCAAAAAATTCAAATTTGGTAACCTCTTTATAGTCATGCGTTTGAAGATGAGGTGATTTTTAGAAACTAAAGATCATAGATGGCTGGAAGTAATCTCCGGGAAACTCTAGACCTAAGTTTTATGCTAGTTAGGACTTGCTAGGAACGAGTATGCTCACCCTTATGGGAACTGATTCTCTACAGCGTATAACGTTACTACCGAGTTATTCAGACCGAGATGTTTGTCAGCGGTAATGTATGTATATATATGATAAGCAATGTGCTCAATTACGTTTTGATGATTTTGGCTTTTTGATCTAGGAGTTAATTCTGTTTTATTTTTGAATTTGTCGTAATGCGATTTGGCAGATAAAACCATAACTAGTCGCTTTAGAAATAAATATCACCAGAAAGTTATGTAGACAGTAGTGGAGTCAACTTTTGCCCCGGTTGTTTTTACCTCTGAGTAACATCAAAGTTTAGATTCTGATCATTATCGTGAATTTTCCCTATAATCCTAAGGAACTTGATATAGTCAGCGAATCATTTAGAGAAGGGCCATACAAAATAGTTTACAATAATTTAAGTAACTAAAGTAAGATCATGCACTAGTAATAAAGACATTGAAAAGTTTGGTTTAAATATTAACACAACTTAAGTAGATTTCATTTTTTTAGAGGTACGTTTCTCTTTTCCTGCAAATAGACTAGAACTATAAGACGATCGCCATTGATTTAAATTGAGTCATATCTGATAACCTGTAAATTCATTGATTTGCGCTATTTCTGGGACCTTATTAAAGGAGTCGCTGTGAGTCGACAAATGCTATTACATCACAACTATCCTTTATGTCACGATATCATTTATAAACTTTTCTTTCTGTTATTCTCTACACATTCTCAGAGTTAGCCGCAAAGTAGGTATACTACATTTAAAAAAACTAAAAATAATTTTCTCGAAAACACGATTTCTACATACATGATTCGATGCACACACCATAACTCTTATCATTACTAGCTTACAAGACTTTTAACTTAAAGGTTTTATACATAGATTTACCAAATTCTTCTCAATTCAGGTCTGACAGCAAATATTCTAAAAATATGAAATTAACTGAACTTTTATACCATGGAAAGCGTTTACGTCATGATAAACTCCAGTTCATGACTAATCGTTATTGGAATAAAAAAGGTTCATATTTGAAGGTTTCCCGTTTACGTTTTCCCGAAGAAGTTGCGAATAGTCCAAATAATCCTTTAATAAAAGCAGAAAATATGTTTAAATCAACCAGATATGATGATGCACTTTTGAACGAAATTGAAATGGGAATTACTGCAGATGAAGCTAAACATTTAGAGCAACAGAAATCCGAGAGACTTCAGTGTTTTCATCCTCTCTTCGGAGATGTCCGCTTTCACCAAGATTGTGAACCATCACTAATATTTTCTAGTAAACGACGTTTCTCAAAGGGTGTAGATCAAGCTAGTCTTCTAACAAATGTAAGTTTTAGTGTTTTAGTTACTTAGTAAAGTACATTATAAATTGATTTTTTCTAAAACATTTAATGTTTATTGATTGTTTTGAAGTTGAACAATCATTTCAGCTGTGAAAATCAGTGGAATGCGTGCACAATTTACAACCTCAGCGTGTAAATCGCGAGAACTTCAAAATTTCGACTTAGAAATCGGTTCATGGTGGCATCAATATTCTCATTAACACAGTATTTCCTACCATCATTGGTCTACCTTATTGGCTCGACTATGACCCGTCGTTAAACCCCAATGATGCTTTTGTCAAATACTAATGGGCAACGGATATTAAGTCTAATACCACTTTGGTTCCATCTGCAAGGGAGACATTGTAGTATCGAAGTTTTTGCAGTTCGCTATAAATCCAGTCCTGGTTTCGAACCTTCAAGGTCCATCGCGTCACACCCATACAACACGTCAGCCAGAGAAGAAACAAAAGCCACTATCCATAAGCCGGAATTATGGATCATGGGATTTTACCAAATCTTATTTACACAAAAAAATGTCGAGGCAGTAAATTTAGCGTAATGAGCTACAAAGATAAATACCAAAGCCGCAACGTATACCGAAAAAATTCGGGAAATGAACCCATCCATAAAACAAGCCAGTGGGGCCATCAATGTGTATATCGACAAATACTGCCTTGGTGGCCTGTAAGTACATCACAGTTGGCGTTAGTCATCAGTCTTTCCATCAACAGCTAGACACGGCTTTGTTTATCGGTTCGCCTCTTGGTTATCTTTTAAATGTCTTCGAGGTACAATCATGCTCATGTGGCTCTAGTCTAAATAACCATCACTTTCTTCATAGAGAGAAAGAATATCCGCGATCTACACAGCCATGGTAGGTTAAGAATTCTACGGACCGGCTCTTAATTATTCCAATAAAGGGTGACTTCAAATCGGGCTACTGGGAAGTGTCAGTTACTGTTGGAGATTTTTATGAATATTGATGTCGTATTGTTGATAAAAGCTGTATTAGTGTGACCCCTTGAAATTGTCACGAATACAATAATTTCTGTGACCTGTAGGTGCTACTACCATAATTATTATTGTAACATTTCATAACTTAGTGTTTATAACCTTCTTAGTGTGGCAACACCGCGCGATTTACACCTATTTTTATCTTGTGCTATTTGGTCTCCTTAGTCTCACGTAAATCTAGTTTGTATTAGACGTTTCTCAAGTTCTTATTTTGGACTAAATCCACAAATCATAACAAATGGTAGATATGTTAACTTATATATAGTTCTCAGTTAACTTATGCAGTTGTGGTTATCTTTCCCATACTAACTTAAACATAGTATGAAGATTTATTGTGTTGATGCTCGTAGTTTTGTTTTCTGAACAATTTTAGGATTGTAGTCCGATATTGTCACTTGAGGAATAGGTAGCAAAGGGACGTTGTTGCTTATGTGATTTCAATGTCGATGTGAAACCTCGTTCATATGCAAGATCTCCACGTGCCTTCTAAAAGTAGGTTGTACCGTGAAACAATCAGCTATATTGTTTACGTTCTGTAGATTTCGGGTGTGCTGTTACAGATCTTCCCGATCGATCCTTACACCTAGTGAAATGTTCGCAAATTCCTAGACACGAATAGTACTTCAACCCCACAGTATTGTGAGTTGGTTGATCATATAATACTCAAAGTCGTTCAGTACTGATTGGAGTAAATTTATGTAGTGAAAAAGCTGTAGGTGCTCGGAACTTGATGTTATCAATTCATGAACTCTTTCATAGTTGGAGTTATGTAGGGAGGTGAAATCCTCTTTGATAATGTCCTCTGGAAAGTGGAAAATGATAGTCTGAAAATTCAAATTACATGTATCAGAATCAACCATTTGTCTGCCAAATCATGTACATTTCGCTATTTATTTTAAATTTCCAACATTTTTGCTCGCTTCCTATTTTGTTGGTTTTTTTCATTATTGGTACAAAGTGTCGAAAATTCAGCCGTGCCATGGTACATTGTATGTCGATTTGCTCACATGCCCTTCTTTTCTAATACAAAACAATAAACTTCGCTGAACTTTTCCTGATCAACCTTCGTCAGTGTAGATAAAGTATTCTACAAGATATCTGAGTATTGCTCCATTATGGTTCTGTTCAATTTAACAATTGGTTTAATTGGCTCAGTATCTTTATTTTTACTGTACTTTTCAAAACCATGTTTTTTACTTGTCATTTTGATACGGTTGCAATTAATACAAATAAACATTTACTTCATTTTCATTTTTACAATTCTTTTTTTGTTTATCTTATCCGGAGTTTCGTTCTGTTTCAGTTTAAGTCACTTTGATATTTATTAGCTTGCATAACCGTATCTTCATATCACTATCTGGTGTTCCTGATTATATTTTATTTCTTTAGACTGTCGTTACATTGGGTGCTCCACCGACATTAAATAATCTCTTTGATAAAATTGATGAATTAAATAAACTTGTTGATACAAACAAGCCAATTGCAGATTGGAGATCTTCCTTACGTTTATCTGTGGAACGGTCAGTTCTACATGCTCATGTTTGGCAAACGGATGAAACTAAACTCCCTCGTCGATTTCACCAACAGTCAAATGTTTGGAAACATAAGCCTGAGTATGGAATCCATTCGGAACAGAGTACTCGTTATTTGTTCCACAATCTATTTCGTATTTTGGAATTTCAAGTGAGTTATTTATGAATATTCATTATTTTTTCAGATTAAATGTACATTATCGAGGTAGAACATTTGTGTAATGTAGTCAGTTTGATGGTAGTTTTCATCAAATGAAGAGCTATCAAGAATCAAAGGGAACTGATCGGCCATTTTGTCCTAGTTGGTATTCCTTTATGACAGGTCTAAATATGTCAATGTAAAGTTGAAAGATAAAATCCCGTCCACTTCTACGCAGAATTGTAATTACAGAATAGGTT